TGCGTACACACCACGCACATGGATATTCATGCACACACATGCCCATACATACGTGCATACACACCACACACCCAGATATTCATGCACACACATGCATGTGCACATACCACACACCCATACACACATTACATGCCCATATATTCATGCACACATACACATAAACATAGACATACCACACACCCAGATATTCATGCACATACACACACACACCACACACCCACACATATAGACATACACACATATACATACACAGATACACCCCTGCCCATTCAGAGTCCAGCAGAGGCACCTAGGGCTATTTACAATAAAGTCCGAGGACACATGGCTGGTGTTCTCTGTGTCTCTCCCTCCTCACCACCCTGTCACCCACTCTGGCAGGTGGCACCACCTACTCCTGCTCCATGTCTTGTCCTGTTGCTTTGGGCTGCTCTGGTAAGGGAGGAAGAAGGATCATGGGTTCTGGTCCCAGAGGGCAGCCTCCCTACTGCTAGTCAGGCAAGCTGAGTCGTCCCTGCCCCAAGTCAGCCCTGCTCTGCCCCATTCCTCAGGACCCTTGGCCTCTCCATCTGCTGCATGAGGAAATCACCAGCTACCAGGGGCTACTGTGAGAGTCAAATATTAGTAAGGTATGTCATAGCGGACTTCAAAATCCTTGTAAATGCTAGTGGGAAGCTGCTGGGTTTCTATGTTCCAGGTTAGGGCTTAGCAGCATCTCAAATTTAGTGTGGCGTTTAGAAACTGGCATGGATTTCAGAAAAGGAAAGGCCACATAGATTTTGTGTTGCAACCAATATAAATAATGGTGAAAAAATAACAGAGACATCTCTCTCTTCAGCTCAATAAAAACAACTTCCTGTCTCACTCCACATGGGAGGAAGATTCCTCATCATGAGACCCTTGAATCTTCGGCAGTGGCTATTACAATGACCCCAGAGATGCCCAAGTCCTGATTCCCAGAACCCTAGGTAGGTCATGTGGCAAAGAGAAACTAAGGTTTCAGATAGAACTGAGGTCCACAATCAGCTGACTGTAAAATAGGGGCAGTAGCCTTGACCCTGCAGCTGCACAAAATTACCAGGTCCTTGGGAATGAAAGTGACTCAAAGGAGGCATGGCCAGGGAAGAGGGTCAGAGAGCTGTACCACTGCTGGCTTTGACAAGGAAGGAAGGCAGCCACCAGCCCAGAAACGTGGGCAACCCACAGAAACTGAAAAAACCAAGGAAATAGATTTCCTCCAAGGGCCTCCAGGAGGAATGCAACCCTACTACCCACACCTTGATTTGAGCCCAGTAACACCTGGGTTGGAATTTAAACCCACAGGTTCCCACTCTGTGGGTCACGACCCCTTTGTAACAATGAAAATACATCCTGCATATCAGATATTTACATTACAATTCATAATAGTAGCGAAATTATAGTTATGAAATAGCAATAAAAATAATTTTATGGTTGGGGGTCACCACAACATGAAGAACTGTATTAAAGGGTTGCAGCATTAGGAGGCGCATTAGAACCACTACAATATAACTTTAAGATAACAAATTTTTGTTGTTTTAAGGCGCACAATCTGTAGTAATTTGTTATGGAGCTGTAGGAGATGAATGCAGTTTCCATGAGAGGAATATGCAGCTGTGTTCCCATGGCCTCCAAAACTGCCCATGGGCAGAGGCAAAGGCACCCCACATAAGCCTCCACCAGGATCACTTGCCCTGAGTTGTAAGGTCCTGGGCTGATATATGGCCATTTGGAGACTGCACATATTGCCATAAGCGGAGAAATGTCCACCCAGGGTAAAGGGTGGACATCAGCCTTCCACGAAGACAGCACAGCCCAGGCTCCAGGCTTCACACTCATCAAGAAGTGACAAGAACAGCAACTTAAAATGTCTGGTCCCCCCTTCTGCCTGCCACCTAATAAATGGTTCTATATCCCCATGCATTGTGGGTGATTGAAAACTGAATAAATGAAAGATTCTCAACTCTCCCTAGAGCTCTGGTAGTCTCACCCCAAGCCTCACATGGCCCTACAACAGCAGTCCAGAGTGAGGGAGTGAACTTACCACACCCTAGTGGGTCTTGACTGTCCTCGCTGGTGGTCAAGACTCGGTGGAATCCTTCCAAGCACCCAAACCATGTCCTGGGAGAGGTGCTAAAGCGGTCCCCTTGGAGGAAGCGGATGGAGGTGTCTGCTGGGAAAATCTTGGAATCCAGATGCAGCTGGAACATGCCACTTTGGATCAGATCTGCAAAGTGCCCAAGGAAGTCCTTGCCCACTAAGGCCCTCTCTGTAAGACACAGGACAAGACAGAGGTCACCTTATCATTCTCTGCAACAGCCAGGAAGAGTCAAGGGGGCAGAGCTGCCTAGAGACACAGGCATCCTTTGGTGTCTCATTTTACAGAGGGATAAACTGAGGCCTAGCTCTGGGGATGGACTGGCTCAAGGTCACATGGGAGTTAGAAGCATGAGTAGGACCCCAACCCTGGTCCCCTGGCTCCTGTCGCTTCTATAGCTCCAGTACAACCTTCATGGGTTCAGGAGGTCATGTCTTCAGTCACTGAGCTAAGGTGCACTGTCCAGACGTTTGTCCCCTTCAGCCTTTGATGAGGCACTGAACATCTCTGAGCCTCAGTCTTTCCTTCTGAGAAATGGCCCAGTCATGCCTCTCTGACAGTTGGTGAGGATGCTGGGAGAGAAGGTATGAGAAGGGGCCTCTCAAAGGGAAGGCAAGGACTCGAGGAGGCAGTGTGGCCCTCTGTCAGTGCTCAGCTAAAACTAACAAGCCTCAGCTATGGGACCACAGGCATTTCCTAGGAAGGAAGCAGAGGAGCTGGGGCGGACCTCAGCACGCAGCACACATTCCTGCCACGCCAGCCGGAGGCCCCAGACCACAGTGTCACTGCCTCTCCATTGAAGCCAGGAACAAGGCGTCTCACACTTGCAGCTCCAAACACACCCAAATTATCCAGTCTCTGGAGGAAGATGCAAGGGGACCCCTAATTCCTAATTCTGAGGCAGGGGGGTCATATTTTCACACAGCTCATTCCTCTACGGACCAGACATTAACAGAGATAAAGTCTCCTTCCTGGAAACATTTTTCAGATGCTCCAGAGAGTCCTGCTCCCAGGTTGTTTGGCCACCGAGTGGCAGAAGATGGAGTAGAGCTGTGTCCTGTTCTCCGGTCAGAAATAGATGGAGCATTTGCTGCCCCACCAGAAAGCTCAGAGCTGGACACAGGGAGTGCTCACGTTGCCACTACCCGTCTGCACCTCTTGGTTCCTCCAAACCCTAACTGCCATGTTTATACAGTGTGGGCGAATGGAGATGTTTATAGACGGAAGTGGGTGACATAAAGACTCCCTCACCCACCGGTTATCCTCTTCATGCTCTCTGTACACAAGTCAAGAGAAACACTAGAATCTGTTCACGAGAGCACAATCGGGCTTTTTACTATGGATTTATTTAACTCTAGGAAGCTATTGACCAGAACGCTACTGCTTTTTATCTATTTTAAAGTAATCAGTTGCCCCTGATCCTCACAGGGGGCATCCTGGCCCCACTACCTCCACGAAACAGAGGAGGAAACAGACTCAGGCTGCACAGCGTCTTCCAGTCAGTGCTGCAGGAAAACATACCAATGTCGTGCAAATCAGGAAGAGAGGCCGCGGGGATGTCCTCCAGCCGTGATTTCCATGTGACATTCACTCCTAATCGCTCCCCGGTCACACACCCCACCTGCACGGAGGAGTCGTCACAGACAGGAATGGAAACCAGGGTGTCAAAAGTCTTCACCTACAGGGAGACAGACACTGTCAGCTCAAGAAAACAGGAGTCAGAACTGGGCCTACCCACTTCTTTGATCCCCATTAGCTCAGGTGCTGAGAGCATGGCACTTTCACTTTTCCCCACCTGAGGCAAACCAAGTTCTGGGACATTAAATTCCCTGCTGTGGCTGCACAGTGTGCAGAGGCCCATGCAAAGGAACAGTAGAGCCCTGTGCATGAAGGCCAGCCTCTCCTAATAACATATTTCACAGGTGAAACAACTTCAGCCAACTCTGCAGGAACCTTCTCCACACACACATCCAGCAGGACATCTCTGAATCCCAGTAGCATCCTTCAGCCCCTCCATTTTGGCTACGTGGCTGGGTCTCTCCTCCCAACCTGAGCACAGCTGAGTGGTGCCTGCTGGTCGTCTGTGAATGGTGGACTGTGGGCTCATCGGGCAGGGAGGAAAGATGGAGAGTTGTGAGGCCTGTTAGCCTGAGGACAGTGCAGGCACAAGTCCGGGGTAGAACACAAGCTCCAGGTTTCCCTCTTCACTTTGCCTCTTCCCAATGGTGTTTAGTCTGTTTGGGCTGAACAGTGAAATACCATGGACTGGGTGGTTTGTAAACAGTTCTGGAGGCCAGGAAGTCCTAGACCAACGTGCCAACGATTTGGTGTTTGGTGAGTCTCCCTCACAGACGGCTGTCTTCTCATCTTTGCTCACATGGTAGAGAGTACAGGGATCTCTCTGGTGGGATTTGTTTTAATAAAGGCACTAAATTCATCATGAGGGATCCACCCTCATGACCCAATCACTTCCCAGTAGCACCACTTTGGGGGATAAGATTTCAACATATGAATTTTAGAGGGATACATTCAGACCATAGCAAAAGTTAACATCACAAGAGAATCTATCTATAGCCCCAGGGGAAGTTAGTTTATCATGAACTTGGCTATATAGAGGGATAACAGAGGAAGTTTCTGGAAGGAAAGTGAAGGTGCCTGTCCCCAACCCACAATGCAGAGTCAAAGTGGCCCTGGCCCTCAGCCTCAGCATGGGAGCTTTGACTATCTTCTTCCTGATCTAGACAGTGGCCTGAAAGCTGCTCTAGGCAGCCTATATGGGCACAGGGTGCCATTGTCCTAACCCCCTGCCCCCAAGCACTTACTATCCACTGCATCTGTGCTATACCCCTGAGGAAGGTAAGTGGATGTAGGTGACACATAGTTGTCATTTAGTGAGCACCTGCTGTGTGCCACTTAGTACTCTTACAGGCAATGTGGCACAATCTTTGAACATGTCCTAGTGGTCAGGCCCTGTGGGAAGTGCCTTAAAAATATTAGCAGGTTTAATGTCTGAACCAAATTTAAGGGGTCGAGATTATCTTTACTCCACATTAAAGATGGAGAATTTGCCTCAGAGAGGATAAGAAACTGCCTAAGATCTCACAGCCAATAGGTGGTGAAGCTGGGATTCAAATCCTCGCTAACCCCAGAACCTTTGATCTTAACCTCTCGGCAGAGTGTAAGGAGTGTAAGTTTGGCTCTGTTTCCTCACTTAAGCTGGCCCTCCAAGGAAGGGGCTCCGACTCCCATGTCACAGGTGACCGATGGGAGCCTCAGCAAGGTTTGGTAAAGGCCTAGGTTACTGACACCGTGGCCGTGAGCTCAGTCCAAGTCGTCACTGTGGAGAAGGCCAGGCAAGTACCTGAATCTGGCAGAAGCCACGGGCCATCAGCTCGTCCCCTATGAAGACCCGGAACGCCCACAGCAGGCCCGCGTAGTCCACGCTGCACATCTTGCCCGGCGGGAGCTGGAGCTGGAAGTGCGCTTGGGTCTGGATGGTCTGCCACGGCTGGGGCCCTGCAGGCAAACCCCAGTGGTCAGCAGATGGAGGCCAAAGCCCTCTGGAATTCTTTTGTTTTGGCTTTTCCCCTGAAAAATTAACCCTTCCTCTTTTAGCTTGCAGCACACAGCACTGCCACTTTGCACTGTCATCTTCAGAGCCTGGATACTTCCTGCCATGACAGCTTGTCTCTGAAATTACTTAGCACCTCACACCAAGCTTAGCCCTGCCCCCTGCCTCTGTCCAGAGTTCTTTACATTTTGGGGTCCTGGACATTCTCCTGGGAAAATGTTCCAAACTACCTTGCATATAGACAGAGCCCTACTAAATGGCCTTTCAGGTTAAGAGTAGACACCACGGACTGTGAGAATGGTTGTTTAGTGCACAACCTGCACAGTCATACATGGCACCCTACACTCAGCTTGAAGAGATCAAGACCCACACCTCTCTCACCCAAAGTCCCCAGCTCTAGATTCGGCCATGACCATTCTGGTCTTGACTTTAGCTTAAGCCATGCTGGATGGAGACCCTCCATGTCCCAGAGTGTTTCACAACAAATACTGTCCTTGTCACCCTGGAAGCCACCCAAGCCTGTGACAGTCAGGCCCAGGGTCTGGGTCTCTCTCCCAGATGCCCCACCCTTGCACTGGCTGGACCAAGTGCTAGATCCCAGCTGTCCGTCCTGACCTGTCTGGCTGTGAATAAGCACAGCCAGGCTTTGCCAAGGCAGACGTAGTCTGAGCCTGGTGCTGCCACACAGCCATGTCCACGTGCTTGTGTGTGTGTCAGGTGGGTTCAGTGTGTGGGCAGGAGAAAGGAGCTCTGTGCAGAGCCCTGGAAAAGGGCTGGTATTTACATAGAGCACAGGCCTTGCCCATGAGAACTGCTGGACACCTGGAGTGGGCCCAGCACCTCTCCAAACATTAGCCCTGGATGTCCCTGTGGTCAGAGCTAGAGGTTCGTGGGAAAGAGTGGCTCTCAGAGGCCACCTATGCAGTGCTGAGTGTGCCAACACTATACCAATACGACTGTCAGAGCACCCACCTTCCAAATATTGGTCTTTAATCCAAGACATTCTGGGAGAGCTGGGGTGGTGGTAGTTCTCCCAAAGAGCAGATGATCCCAGAAAAGACATAGAGAAAGCCTAACTCCGGGCTCCGTGAAGCACATCTGCTCCTGCAGAAGAACATACTCCGCAGTGCCCTCTCTCCTCTCGGGGTGCCACCTGGCTCACCGTCACAGTGCTGCATTTGGAGTGGGATGAAGCACTCACATGTGCACACCCTGGCCTCAGCTCTAGCCCTGAGAGGACACTCACGCTGGCACGCCCGTGGCTGGGGAGGCGGTGACTCCCAGCGTCCACTCTCCAGGCTGCACACCAGGAGCCCTTCTGGGAACACACTCCGGTAGCCTTGGCGGCACAGCAGCCGGCACTGCTGGACAACAGCCCCTGCTGGACCCAAGACGCTCTCACACAGGATTGCTCCTCCAGCCAACCCTGAGGCATCGAACGGCAGCCGGCACTGCGGACCTAGAAGGAAACAGAGCCGGGTGGGCGTGTGTCGGTTTCAGGAGTACCAGCGTGCAGTCTGTGGGTGTCCCCTTCCCAGCCACACCGGCCCTCCTCTCTCCATCACCAATGCACCATGCTCTCAGGCTCTGCCCCTGCCCTCTGCTTGGACAAGATCATCCTCTCAGTTGGAACAGGCCCCTGAGCACAGATACTTCTCACAGCTCCATCTCCAGATCAGACTCTCAAGCTTCTCCTCATCTCTGAATCCAATTAATTATCCCCTATCTCTCCACTGCAAAGCCAACCGTCCATGTCTGACCTCAGCAGCTGCTGCCCAGGCTCACTCCTGCCTCAGTGCCCCATCCCGGGAGGGCACCTCCAGCCACGCAGCCACCCAGGCCAGCAGCCAGAGGACCCTCACACCACGTACTGTCTCCTCACTCTCACTGCCTCTTCCTCAGTCAGAAGCCCCTCATCTTCTGCCTGAATGGCTAGCAAGACCTCTTGCTGGGCTCCTGCATCTGGGCCTCATCCCCTGCCTTTGTGTTCCCAAATCTGACCCAGTCCCTGCTGCTGGCAGAGAAACTGAGCTCGAAGCTGGACTGAGGCTCTCAGTGCCCCAGACACCTGCTGACCTGCTTCTTCTCGGCATGCTCAGCCGCCAGCCTCCCAGTGCCTTCAGGAACATCCAGCTTCCCCTGAATCTATCATTATGCCCGTCCCTCTGCCTGCTCATCTGTCTGGAAGATTCCTTTTCGACTGTCAAAAATCAGCTCAACACATCCAGTTGTTTAACACCTTCTGTGGTTCTCCCATGCAGGCTTTAGTCTCTTTCCTCCAACCTCCCAGCCACCTGGTGTAGACCTCTGCTTTATTCATTGTTCAGAACTCTAATCACCTGCAGGCTCAAGTCTGCAGGGAGAAAGAGGGGCCCCACCCTGTGTTCACGTCGGCCAGGGAACAACGCTGACCCACATGCAGCTTGATGAGTGTGAGTTAAATAAATGTGTGACTGAGTAAGTTAATGAGCAAACACATTCAGTGTGACAATTTCACATCTGATTAGAGATTTAGTTAATTATCAGACTCTTGGGCACAGCCTTGCAACCAGTATATGTCTGGATTTTAAATCTGCAATCTCTGTGTGAGATAAGGGTATTCAGGGACCTCAGAGATGAAGAATGACCTATTTTGATCTCCAGAGCTCAATATGGACTTCTTAATAATAAGAACAATGGGCCCTGGTCAACATCTTGCATTGTGATTTGCAGTGGGCTTATTGAGTTGTCTCTTACCAAGAGCAGAGGGTGTGTGGCTCTGAGCTGGCCTGCCGGGCTGTGAGTCCTGGCTCTGTCATTTACTATTACAGTTGAGTGGCCCCAGGCAAGTTGACTAACTTCTCTGTGACCCTGTGCTCTCACTCATAAAATGATGAGGATAGCAATAATGCCTACCTCCTAGCAGGAGTATTTATTTAAAAACTTCTCATGTGACAGTAAGTGCCAGATGTACCGTTAAGAGTTTTACGAATATCAACTCACAACTCTTTTCTTTTCTTTATTTCTTTTATGAGACACAGTCTTGCTTTGTTGCCCAGGCTAGAATACAGTGGCACAATCATAGCTCTCAAACTCTGGACTCAAATGATCCTCCTGCCTAGCGTCCCAAAGTGCTGAAATTATGATCTGCTACCAATTCTTTTAATGCTCCCCACGCCCCTGTAGGGTAGGTCCCATTACCCCTATTTATAGACTCCAGAGGCACACAGAAGGTCAGGACCTACGCTCAAAAAGCCAGCAAGGAGCAAAGCCAGGATCTGACCCCTCACTCCCTGTTCCCACCAGAATGCTAGATGCCTCATGAGTAAAGAGCAGGTGTCAGGGAGTGGATGTGTGAGCAGCCCCAAGATCTCAATAAATATGCTTTCCCCTCATGCCCCATGGGAGGATCCACACCTGCGGCCTCTCTGGCTTCTCTTCCTCTGTGGCCTCATGCAAGTGGCCAGTGAGTACTCTGGCTGGGTAGGTGGGGCAGGGGCTTCCCTTTCAGGGTCACCAGCATCACCCAGGATGTTGACACTTCTCTCCCTGGTGCCCCTGCCCTTTCCAACAGACCTGCTTTGCTTTCCCAAGAACTTCTTCCCCAATTTCCCTGAAATGATGTAACTCCCTGGCTATGATATGAACCATCTGGCCCCCATGGCAGGCGAGGGGGGCTGAGGAGAAAGGAAGAAACACAGAAGCTAAAACTAACTGAATACGCACAGTGGGCCCAGCCCTGGGATGGACTGCCAGGCCCAGCAAGAACCATGGATCTCCCCAGGCTTCAGCCCAATCCCACAGGCCAGTGGGGGCCAAGGGGGTAGTCGAGCACCTGCCCAGCCATCACCCCACAGCGAAGCCTGGATAAATGTTTCTCTATAGCAGTGATTTTTCAACCCATGTGCCACAGCACACTAGTGTACCATGAGATGATCTTAGGTATGCCGCAAAAAATTTTAAAGGTTGTTAATTACATTATCTTTGAAAGACATTCAAAGCACAGTAAGCATATTCCTTTTTTTTCTCTTTTTTCTTTTTTGATCAATGTTATTTAAGTTTTCTGTGGAAGTTTAACTTTAAGTTCAATGGTGCCATGAGCTAAAAAAGGGTTGTAAACACTACTTTATAGCCTCAAAAACAGCACAGCAAATTAAAGAAAGTTATAAGGAGAGGAAGGAAAAGCTATTTTGGGCATCCTTATCTTTCCTCCCTCTTCACTCAACAAGGCACTTTGAATCATCTCCCTGTGCTGCCTTCTGTCTTCTCCTAAAGCCCTGCACAACACTGGGTTTTAGGAGCAGGCCCCAGCCAGGAACCCTGGCTGTTCCTCTTGATAGCTGAGTGCCCTTGGACATGTTTATAAACCTCTCTGAGCCTCAATTTTGCCACCTATAAAATGGGGAGATAAGTGAGCTCTAGTACTTGCATTGTTAACAGGCAAAAATGGGATATATGAAATAAAAAGCAAATTTTACAAGGGAAATCTCTACACTTGTGAGCTATAATCATGGACAAGGCTGTGTAGAGTCTTCCCATGCCCCAAAGGAGCTGTGCTCCAGGCCCGTTCCCGGAGAAGGCTACATTAGTTTCCTGGCCTCAGTGCAGACCACTCCCAGATGACTCCGCAAGTGGAATCCTTCTCATTCCTGACTTGAGGCAGAACCGTCCCTGCCTCAGATGCATGGGGCAGGCAGCTCCATTCATAAACAGCTTCAAGCACTGACTATGTGCCCTTTGTGGTGGCAGGTGCCGAGGTCAGAAAGATGACAGTGAAGCTGGGCCCTATCCAGAGGCAGCAACAGGAACTGGGAACACATAGCATGTGGCATGAGCCGTGGGCACTCCACAGGTTCAGGGCCAGAGTGAGAACGGAAAAAGCAGGAGGACAGCCCGACAAAGACAGCACAGCGGCTCTCTCCCCAGGCTGCCCCTGAAGCCTCCTTCCGTCTCTTTACGAGTGTCAACCAGAGGTACCCCTAGACCTAATTACATTTTCTGCAGTCCCAAAATGCTGCTTAGAGATTGGAGAAATTTAAAAAACATAATGAAGCAATAAAAACATGAAAATAAAGGCAATTTTTATAAAATCGAAATCATTCAGCATGGTATGGCTTAACCCCAATTTATACTAAACATTTTGTGATGTCTTCATTCCTGTCCTAAAATGAAATTCACAGACAGTCTCTCCTACCTGCTCAGATAAATTTTAAATTGACTGTAAAGTCCCATGATTTGAATATACTGGAGAACTAAAAGGTAAATAATTCATAATTAAATAATACATTTTAATTTTTAATAACATAGTTTAATATATATTCATATGATGCATATTTCAATATTTATGTCCACATACATTTTTAAACTAGAAATGAAAATAAACAAGTCGACATGAATTCCTAAAGCACCTCAACAGGGATACAACCGTCACCTTGAAATGCCACCATCAGGGGGCTTCATGCCATTTGGGGACACAGAGAGCAAGGCCCAGAGGCCCCCAGAAGGCCAATGCCTGAGCCCCTGAGGTGGCAGCTCTGGGGAGTCCCTGGTCTGAGTTTCTTTCTGGTTTCAGCCCCTGGCCTGAGCACTTTTAGGAAGTAGATGCAAGTTTCGATATCATGGGCATCAACCGCAACTGGATCCTTCCCTGGCTTCCTGTCTCCTCTGCCACCCCCACTGTCCTGCCTCCTTAGAACCCCACCCAGTCTGGGTAGAGTAGGAGATGGGCTGGCCCCACGGTCCCTCCAGGGACTCACAACTTACTCTCACAGGCAGGCTTGCTCCCAGCCACGCGGGTCTCGGACACCTCCTCTCCACTGCCTGTGACACACCAGCAACTGCTCTGGTCAGGGTCGCATTGCATTGGGGAAAAGCCTCCATTCTGTGCATCACAGTCTGGGATGAAGCCAAGGCCGACTGTCCTGGAGAGGACTCCACTCTTGAGCACATCACAGAGGCCCGGGCCTTTACACAGAGACAAGCTGGCTCTACCACCCAGCTCCAGAGCCCGAGTATCCTCCCCACCTTCCTGGGCCAACCTGCCTATAGGGTCTTCAGGGGTCTGAGGAGGCTGAGCTGCAGCAGGGCCAAGACAGTACATGCCCAGCTCTGAGGGATTCCTCCCTCCGCTGCCATTGTCAGGGAGTGTAGCATCTTAAAGAAGTGAACAGGTGTCATTCAGTGAGATAAGGGTGGCCACAGTGCAATATAGGAGCCACAGGGTGGCACAGAAGCACGGGGCTCAGCTATGGAAGAGACAGTTCAGTGGAGGCTTCGTGGAGGGGCTGAAGCATGGTCTGAGTGGGGATTAGGCAAGGTAGGCAAGCGTAGGGGACAGGTGGACAGATTGCAGGTGGCAAGGCCAGAATGTATGAAGATCCCAGGGGGAGAGACAGCATCTTCCTCCTTCAAATGTCTGACCAGAAGGCATTACAGCCAGGTGGGCAGCACGAGCAACAGAGAAGCAAGAGAAGCCAAAGCAGGCAGGCAGCTGCCAGGGGCAAGGGCCTGTACCAAGCCAGGGAGCTTGAGTGGGCCCTGAGGACAACAAGAGTGCCCACAGATTTCAGGCAAGGTGGGCATCAGCATATTTCACCTCACTGTGGGAGGTAGGTTATAGGGCCAGCTGCAAGCCAAGGGCCAGGCAGGGCCTGCGCACCTTGGAGCAGCTCAGCTGGTCAAACCACAATGCACTGGTGCCCTTTTAACAGTCACAAAGCTCAGCCTGCTCCCTGCACCTGTGGTCCTCCCAGGACCCTGCTGACCTGGGGATTCTTGCCCCTATTTCATGGATGGGGACACTGAGGCACAGTGAGGTCAGGGCCTGGGCCTCCACAGCGTTGAAGTGGCAGGGCTGGGACTTGATGCCAGCTCTTGTCACTCTGCACCCAGTGATCCCTAGGGTGAAGGGGTCACTCACACTGGGCACTGCTGTTTGAGCCAGGCGGCATCCGTTCTCCCGACGTGGGGTCCACACACCAGATACCAGCCTCTGACGCCTGCAGCCTGGAGTGCTCTCCGGTCTGAGACAAAGCCAAGGTCACATCAGGCACCACAGGTGAGAGACTTTTGCAACCAACCTGCTGGTGGGCAGCTATCAGAAATGTCCTTTCCAAAACAGGTGGTGACAGCTTTTCCAAATGGAGGGTGGTGGGAGTGGGAAGCGCTCTCCTATCCCCCCATTCTTTACACACATTATTTAAATTGATGATTACAATTATCCCAGGAAGCAAGGACCACATTCTTCCACTCTAGGGTGGGAGAAACTGAGGCTCACTGAGTGAGGAAAGTGGAGGAACAGCGCCCACAGGCTGCAGCCCTAAATGGCCAGCCACTTTCCTGAACCAACCCCACCAATTACAGAAGTTATTTCCGCAAACAGCTGTAAGAAAAGTCCCTGAGGATCTGTAGCAGGGAGAAAAGAACACAGCGTGGCAGCTACCCAAGCCCTACGTCTGGCCAAGACTGAGAGGATGGAACCCAGTCTGTGACAGTCCCTGCCCCCCAACCTGACTTGAGCCACTTCAACTCTCTGGGCCTCAGTTTCCCCACCTAAATAACGAGGAGGAGGGACTAGATCCTCCTTGTGAGTGTCCCATTGAGGAGGAAGACGTCCTCCCTCCCGAGTCACAGCCTATTGGACACAGGCAGCAACTGCTATGCCCAGCAGCCGTGGCTGTGCTTCCTTCAGGGTTTGTTTGCTGCTTGCTTATTTTATAATCTGCGGGGCCTTGTGTGCAGACAAGCAATGGCAATGATCTAGACACCCGATGGACATGCACAGAGAATGTAACTGTGAGGCTCCCCTGTGACAATCATGCCCTGCCCTGGTGTGACACCTAGTCCACAAAGCACCCTGGAGGTGGGGACGTCACTGTCCCAGAGAGGCCCAGCTACACTACAGAGGGAAGGCTCAAACCTAAGCCAAGTTTAAGAAAACTCTATGGGGTAAAGTCTTGAAATTGAGAACATTCTAACTATCGACTTTTCCTGGAGGGTTGAGCCAAAGGCGTGTGTACATACAGTCTGGGCAATGGGGTCTGGGCTGCCGTTTACTGGTGCCAGGGCAGCAGCTGGGCAGAGACCCGCCCATCAGAAGAATAGTTCTGCTCAAGAATAACATTGTTCCCCTCAGAAGTTGTGGCTCCTTCATCTCCTTCTCTCTCAGCAAGCACCAGTGCCCAGAAAAATGGGAAAGAATTACATCCCTGGCTGGGTGCAGTGGCTCCCACCTGTAATACTAGCACTTTGGGAGGCCCAGGTGGGTAAATATCTTGAGTTCAGGGGTTCAAGACCAATCTGAACAAGAGCGAGACCTTGTCTCTACTAAAAACAGAAAAACTAGTCAGGCATCATGGAGGGTACCCGTTGTCCCTGCTACTCCGGAGGCTGAGGCAAAAGGATGGCTGGAACCAGGAGTTTGAGGTTGCTGTGAGCTATGGTGCAAAAAAAAAGAATAGTATCCCAGCAGTAGGTGTTTGCCAGCCATGATGAAAGACTGATTTCTCTAGAAAACTAATCCATAATTGGGGTCCAGTTTCATAGTACTAAACAATAACAATAATGAAACTTTCGCTCACACTTTACAGTTTCATGAACTTGTAGTTGGCTGGTTCTATCTGATTTCCATGAAGTCCCTGAAAGCTGAGCAGCGCAGGTCATAGTGTTCCTATAGTTCCTACTTTAGGGAAAAAAATTGAGGCCCAGAGACTTCAATCACTCAGCAAGTAAGAGGTTGAGATTCTGGCCATAAATCCCTTGTTTGGGAGCTTTTCCATCAGTACTTACTGAATTATGAAATACTCTAATCATCCAGGGTGCTGGGCAGGGAGATAGGATGATTGCCTCCAGTGATGCTGAGAACCCGGGGTGCAGTGAGCATAGGGCCTTGGCCACATGCCTTGAGCAACTATACATGTTTTGATTATTTTTCAAAGAGTTTTCATGAAAGATAATTCCTCAGGCTCTCAGAAACAATCCTAGCACTTGGAACAAAATGTAGCCTGATTTTAGTGATTAAAGAAAACAAACTAAAGCACAGAGAGGGTAAGTAATTTACCCAAGGTCACAGAGCTAGGCTCCCAGGCTGAGCACAAATGCCCAGGCTGAACTCCATGTAAGCTCTTAACTAAACCAAATATTTTAGAAACTAGAAAAATCTTCAACCAGTTGGAAGCACATTTTGGCTCCCTCGAGGTCCTTACCTCTAGGCAAGCTGGGATGAACAGGTCTTTTGGAGATGGGTTTCCTTGGGATCCAGCCTGTTTCCAACCAGAAAGAAGTCCATTGGCTCGCGACTTCTCACAGGTTGTGGGGCCTGTGGGAGAGAGAGGGATGCTGTTAACAGACTAAACACGGGAGACAAGGGAAGGTGGGGAACCCAGGCTGATCCCAATTTCAGAGCCACGCGTCTGGGCGAATGGCGGGGCCCCTCACAGACAGCTGGAATGTTAGAGGAGAAGCAGATGTAAGGTCAAGGACAAAGACCCAAGTGGGCCACACCAGCTTTGTGATGCTCAGTGGGCCGTGGATTACACACTGCTGAACCTCAGGGGAGGCTGCAACTGCCCAGGGACATGTGGACAGGGTGGAGAGCCAGGGCTTCCTACTCAACATGGCCTTCCAGCCATTTACTTCCACCCTCAAAACTGGGAGCAGTGCTCAGAAGGGCCAAGGTGAGTGGGCGCCTCCAGACCCAGGACAAGGAAATGCATGGCTGTAAGCAGATGGCCTGAAGGACTGGGCCATGCGGCCTCCCACAGTTGAGAGATCCTGGCTGGCTCAGCTGGCCTAGAGCACCCACCCCAGGGGCCAGGTAGAGGGTTCCACAGGCTTCACTTACACTGAGGGATCTGTGGGGACCGGGTAGTCAGTGAGGCAGGGACAAACTCTCCTTTTCCGTCCACACACCAGCAGTGCCCTAAAAAGAACCAGGGGCTGGAGTTGAGGAAACGCACTGGGGATTTGCCCCCCAGGGACCCATAAACCGCTTTCCTTCCTTGCATTCATAGCAGTGCAAGCAAGGTAGTCTCTCTGTCCCTGTGACCCAGACCCTCTGCCTGACATCATCCATAATCACAAGTCTTAGCACCCCAGTGCCTCTAGCAACCACCCACTTGGCCTTCATTTTGGTAGAAGGTCCCTGCTTCTGTGTCACAGGCAAGAAAACTAGAGGCCAGAGAAGCTAAGGGATTTGTCACCAGCTGCCAAATAGAGGTCTGAGAGAGTCCAGCTCACTTGCCTCCCTTTGTGGGGCTCTTTCTCTAAATAAAAAGGAGGCAATGTCATTTGGCCTCCTTCACCCCACCCCTTACCAGTCCCAGCATGGCACTGCACAGGCTCCCAGTTTCCAAATGCATCACACTGCGGCATGTAGGGGCCAGACCGCGGGAGGGTGGGTACTTCCACCCAGTTGTCCAGGGAAGAGCGGCGTCTCTGATAGAAGGTTAAGGCTGGAGTCAGGGATGGAGAGAAGCAGAATGTGACTGCCTGCCCAATGTGGGCTCCATCATGGAGAACAACCAATTATGTCCCTGTTTCACCAAAAGGACATTTTCTTATTTATTTGACAGACAATTCAACCCAAAATATCACACAGGCAGCTTGACCAGTGCATAGGCATTCAACAGAATGTCCTTTACAAATAACCTTAAGGCTGAAGATAGAAAGACTCTTGGTAAATGTCTACAGTAACTTCTGCAGATAACTGATGAGGTCAGCAGTGTGTCTCCAGGCACAGGGGATCATAACAACACAGCTAAGATGTGCAAGTGTTCGTTATGTACTAGGCATTGTGTAAGTACATGCATTAATTAATTTCATCCTCACACTCTGAGGAAGGTAATGTATCTCATTTGATGGATGAGAAAACTGAGGCTTGGATGGATTAAGCAACTTAACCGCTGTCTCACCCTGGAACATGGAGAAGCTGGACTTGGAACACAAAACCTCACTCTAAGTCACCTGCCCTCTTAGGAGGCTTTGTTACGCACAAAATCACATCTGATTTTCATAGCAGCTCCGTAAAGTCAGAACTTCTATCATAGGTGAGAAAACAGAGGCTCCATGAGGGGGGCTGAATGCTGAACAGGTGGGTGCCCCACTAAAGAAACTGTAGCCCATCATCAGCTCTCCCATTAGGCTTTCCTGCGTGGCTTTGTCTCCTACCAACATACTAGATGGTGCGTGTATTGTCGTGTTTGGGTGTATCTCTTCCATGTAGCAGGTAAGCCCTTTGTGCTTGCCTCATACGAGGCACTCAGGAAATAGAGTGAGGGAAAGAAAATGAATGTTTGAGAGGGAGCAGACAAGGAGAGGATGGGCACAGGCAGGACACACAGTGCCTCATCTGGGTCTCTCCAGGTTTCAGTCTGGTTTGTACCCCCACCATCCTCCTTGGAGGCCATGAATGTCTCCCAGGCCCTCTCTCTAGTGCCACTTCCTGCCCCCTCCACTCCTGCAGGTGCTCAGTGGGCTGTGGTTCCTCCCAGGGACCCTAGAAGAGAATGACCTATCTGGTGTCATCCAGTCAACTTTCCCCTGCTTTATATCAGGGAAGTTCCCCCTAGGTCACCACCCTGCAGACATGGGCTTTGCGGCTCCAAAAGAGACGTTAACGTATAAGGATGCCACCAAGAGGCAGTCAGAATCCATCTGGGGACACTAGTGCCCACCTTTGGGACAGCCTGGGGTAGCGGAGAGGGCTTGAATTCTGGCACAGCACCCCTTAGCTATGTGATTATATGCAAATTGCCCAACCTCTCTGAGCGTGAATTGCCTCATCTATGAAATGGCCTAATACCCACCTAACAGGGTAGGTGTGATAGATACTCCATCAGAAGAGCTGATACACACGAAGCACCATACTCATGCCAGACACAGTCCTGCACCAGCCACAGTCCCACACCCTCCACCACCTGCATTAAGCCCTAGGCTGCCATGTTCTGTTGACCAAAGACTGACTGTAGTCCTCAGTCTCTTCTTGTCCTGGGCCCTCAATCCCCAGACTCTCAGGGAAAAGACCAGCTCTCTGAAGATCCTTCCTCTTTTCTCCACAGCCTCAGACATGCAAATTCAGACCATGTGGTTAGTTGGAGAGAAACTTTCTCAGCTTGACTTCTGAAGAAAATGCCACCACGCCATTCAGTGACATGTCTCTGCAGCACCCACAGTGCTCCTGCCTCTTTCTCCACATTTCCTTCCCTGACCACAGAAGGGGCACCAGTCCCACTCGTCTCTTTGTTCATATCAAATCCTGTCCCTGCCCAGAGTTTCAAACAATGGGGTTTTTGTGGAAAGCAGAAGTCCCCAAGTCTCTGAGGAACAGAGAATAGAGGCCCCTGGGGGTACAGTAAGGGCAGCAGATGGAAGAAACAGGGAGGGAAGGAAGCGACAGGATGGCTGACCACCACTTACTGAGGGCCTCCTTGGGGACAGTGCTGGGCCAGGCACCAGGGATATAAAGATGAACACAACGTAGGGCCTTGTCCTCCCAAAGAGATGTCTGGTGAGGCAGAGGCAGGACACAGAAATAGCCATTGGGAGATTCTCTTGGAGGGTGAAGAGAACCAGGACAGCTGAGCCCCAGTCCCAAGCCAGAGCGGATAGCCCAGCCCCGGGAGAGTGGGGAGGCTGTAGGAGTAGGCTCTCTGTGACTTGAGCGGGTGTTGCCAGAGAGGACTGCTTTGCTGTTTTTTTAACCCAAGACTAGAAAACTTCAGACAGGGAATCAGCTGAAACAAAGGGATAAAAGGGGTGGGGAACTTAAGTCTCAAAGACAGATGTCCTTGCCCAGTGAGTGTGGGGTTCCCAAGAGAACTTGAAGGGGACGGTGCGCTCCCACCAGAGCAGGCTGCAGGGCTATGGAGGAAGAGGCTGAGACAGATCTAGGCATTGACTTCAGTCTCACCATGGTCAGCCCAGTGGGGCACAGGGGAGCTCAGAGTGTGGGCTCAAGGACCAGTCCTTTCTCTAATGATAATCTATACTTCGGTCTCTCCCAAATGCTGGAATAACCCTCTCAGCTTCACCTCAGACCATCAGGCATGAGATTCTCATGGGGTCTCACAACCCAGACCCCTCACAGTTCACAGCGGGGCTCCCACTCCTATGAGTGTGATGCTGCTGCAGATCTCACAGGACGCAGAGCCCAGGCCGTGACGTGAGAAGGGGGAACAGCTCTAAATACAGACGAAGCTCTGCTTCCTCGCCCAAGCTCACCTCCTCCTGTGCGCCCAGTTCCCAACAGGCCACAGCCCAGGGGTTGGGGACCCAGGGGTTGCAGGACTCTCTGAGCTTATCCCTCTGTTTTATCCAGGTAAGAATTTGTGGCTTTTGGAGTTACTGTCAGGTTTAGATGAGATAGTGTGTGATAGGTCCTCGGTAATCAGGGCTCCTCTCCCTTCCCCTTTGCAGCGTTCCTGAATCCCTAAAATGAGGGGAAGCTTTGGACCAGGCCATGAGGAGCATGAGGTGCTTAGGTCCCTCACATGTGGCTTCATGGCAGCTTCCAGGCCATCTCTAGAGCAGAACATGGAGACCACCATGGAGTGGCTGTGCTAGAGGATGTGGGGAGTGGGGGGAGGTCTTGGAGAAGCTGCTGTCACAAAGACACTTGCCTTTCTTTCCCAGAAACCCTCCAGCTGGGAAAGCCAAGGCAGCAACGTCCTAAAGGCTGAGGTAACAGAATCGGGCTCTTGCTTCTCGGAGAGTTGGAGTAGGAAACCTGAAGTGCACACACTTACCAGACAGAGCCGCCAAGAGAACAGCATGGTCGTCATCCCCACGCAGGAACCTCTCTGAGAAGGTCTCCCAGGAGGGGGCGCCCTGGGGAAGGCCCAGCTCTGCTCTGCTCAGCCGGATTCCCTTGGCCACTAGGAAACTCTCTCCCAGGGGGAACCGAGAGCTGTTGGAGGCTGAGGCTATCTCTTCCGTTTCCCTCATGAGCTGCAGCACGCGGAGCTTCACTTCCGCACAGGAGCCAGCGCCTGTGGTAAGCACAGCACGGTCAGACCCACTCCACGGGCACAGGAGCCAGGGCCTGGGGGTGAGCACAGCACGGTCAGACCCACTCCACGGGCACAGGAGCCAGGGCCTGGGGGTGAGCACAGCACGATCAGATCCACTCCACGGGCACAGGAGCCAGGGTCTGAGGTAAGCACAGCACGGTCAGACCCATTCCACGGGCACAGCACCTCGGGGCTCCCTGGAGCACACCTATGTGCACACATACCACAAACACACTACACACCCCCCACATACACATTAATACATATATACACATACCACACACACATATACACACCCGCACATGTACACATACATCCACACCCTACACTAAACTCACCACAAACATACACATTAACACATATATACATACATCACACACCCTTGGGCATTAGCTAATGTGTATACATACCACACACACCACACATGCATCACACACATACACGTATATGTGCAATTACACATCCCACACACACATCCCACACACACTACACACTGTGCACATCCACACACACTTCACACGGTCACACCATACACTACACACACATCTCTGCCTTCGCTGTTTCCGTCTCAGCAGCTCTTTCCTATAATATTCTTTGCATTTTGCCCCCACAATTTCATTCACTCAACTATCGTAGACCTACTCCACGAGAAGATTAGAAATAGTTAATGCTTCCTCCACCCCAGTATTGGACTAAGCACATTTACAGACAATCTAATTTAATCTAGTCAGCAGCCCAGTGAAATACTTATTCTCATGTTACAGATAAGAGACTGGGCCACGGAGAAGCCACATAACTTAAGCTCCCAGCTAGCAAGTAAGTAACGGATTCAGAATTCCAGACTAGACAGTCTCACTCTGGGTACAGTGATTGTGACTGGCTGCCTCTAACGGAAGAACAGACAGATGTTAGGTAGATGGTATCAGCAGGGAAAGAAAGGCATGGCAGGTTGGTAGAGAGCATGACTCTCAAAGGCCCCTGCACCTGGCCGCTTGTCAGCCCTGTGACCATGCACAACATGCTTAGCCTGTCCTAGCTGCAGTCTGCTGATATGTGCAGTGGGGGAACTGGGTCTGCTCCGCGGGCTTGTAATAATTCTGTGAGGTGCTGCAGCTGCAGTGTCCGGCAAGCACTGTGCTTGTAATTATTACTATTGGCAAAAGCCACCTGAGCCACATTCACTTCGCTTGTCAACTATGACTCCAACAGCGGAGGTGTTCAGTGGATTCTTTTGAGATCATGAGATCAGCAGGAACCTTTGACTTCCGGAACTTGAAGACATTATTGTTTTCTTGTTCAAATGAATATTCTTTTTCTTTCTTAATTTTTTTTGAGACAAGTCTTACTTTGTCAGCCTTAGTAGAGTGTCATGCTGTCATAGGTCACAGCAACCTCAAATACTTGGTCTCAAGCAATTCTCTGTCTCAGCCTCTGAAGTAGCTGGGACTACAGGTGGCTGCCACAACACCCTGCTATTTTTAGAGGCAAGGTTTCACTCTGGCTCAGGTTGGTCTTGAACCTGTGAGCTCAGGCAATCTACCTACCTTGGCCTCCCAGAGTGAGCCACCACACCCAGCCAAATGGCTATTCTTGATCAGATAATCTATTCTGTCAGTCCCAGGGATTTGGCATTCCTGAAGCAAAAACTCCTATTTAAAAAGTCTACTTGTTTTCTATTTCTTCCTAGATAAAATGAAAGTCTTTAATGGGGCACACAAGATCTTTAAAGACCTGGCCCCAATTATCCTTCCTCCTCCTCTTCCCTCAGTCCATCCTCATCCCCTCTCTCCCTACCAAGATATCACCTTCCTCCCTCCCTACTCCTTGTGCAGCTCTCTTGACCTCCATTTTAGAAAGGGCCTACCCTGTCATGTGGTGGATGAAGACCTCTCAAGATTTACCCCAGAAATCAATGCTGAGCTCATCTTTGCCCCATTCCCTGGGCATCTTTTCTATGGGCAGACTACTGTTCTACCACTGCAGTATATTAAAATATTTACCAGATAACACCTGTTTCCCCCACTGGTCTCTGAGACGCTCAGAGCAGACATCCTAAGCACAGAGCACTGTGTCACCATCGCATGGCACAATGTACACAGTAGGTAGTCTGTAAACATGTATTAAATGAAGAAAGCAAAGTTGCAAACAGATCAGAGTCAGCAGCGTGGACTTGTGCTCCTGGATGCCTGAGCCATCATCCCTGCATGTGTGTAGGAAGTTGTTGGTCCCATCATTATTCACCATCAATTGTGTTAATCCACCTCTCATCTATTAAGTACTTCCTATGTGCTAGGCCTGGTGCTTTACATCTATTAATTTTTATTATTCTCCCAACAAGCCTTAGGTAGGTTGTATTCAATATATGGTATCTCAAATTTTACCGATGAAACTAAGATTCGGGGGAGGGGGGTGTCACACCCCTTTAGGTCACTTAGAGATAAAAAGCAGAACCAGGGTACCAATGTTCTGGCCTCCAGGCCAGCCCTTCTCAAGCCTGCGGGTGCATTAGACTCATCTGGGAATAATGAAGAAATGTAAGTTTTGATTCACTAGGTGGGACCGGAGATCTTGAAACTTTAATAAGTCCCCAAAGTGATGTTGATGCTTTCAGATCCTTTGTGTATCAAGACTCTGAACTAATAGTCACCAGATCCTTTCTGTGTCCCTATTGACCCTAAAGAGCTTGAATATGTACCCCCAAAATATGAGTATTTCTTTATAAAGCATACACATGTTCTGCCACAATAATATACCACATGCAGTTTCCCCAGCTGTTTCAACTGTTAACACTTAATTGCAACAACAAAAATAGAAATGTTAAAGAAAGTGATGAAATACTGAACACAGATAGTAAGTAGTTCTAATGTTTTCTGCCTAATGGATGAGCTTGTGCACCTCACCTCCTACTCCACACAGCCACCTGTTACTCAGCGAAACAGCCACTTACTCCCAGTCTAGTTTCAACGCTCTGCCCCGCAGTCATACTGAGTAGTCCCTAAAGTTATTAGGTACTTCTGCTTTCAGCAACTCAGAGTCCTACGTTTTCATGCAAAGAGGATGAAATTCAATCTGAGAACATCAATAATTGTAGGAATATCCCCATGTAGGAGACCTGACCACTGGTATGAAGAATGAGTCTACATAAGACTGCGTGTGGAAGAGCCAGGATAACATCAATGTGTTAAGTTTAAGGATCTTTTTTCTAGCATTTGATTGACATTATAATGGGGAATCCTAGTAGTGTTGTTTCCAGGCTGTTCTCATCACATGGTCCTTTCATCCAACATTCTAAAAATCCAATTGCTGCTAACGCCTAAAATTTGACTAATATCAAAATAGTCTGATGAATTTTTAAAAATTCAGAAAGATCCCAGATTTCCCTGGACTTGAGCAGCTATTATATTAGCTATAATATTAGCAACCACTGGTTAGAGAGATTCTGATTTGATAATAGCAGGGCTGCATCTGTCTAGGTTGAAACTGCTAGAATGGCTTTTTGGGAAGAAGGAATTTTTAGTGAAGACACAGAGTCAGCTTCATTATGTTTATGCCTCCTGTCCTGAAACTTTCTATAAGTCTCTAAGTCTACCTGCCACAAAGCTGAGCTCACAGACCTCCATGGGCAGCTCTCCACTTAGTGCCTTCATTAAATCCCTCCCAGTCAAATAAAGCCACGTCAGCTGTCACTCTCCTGAGGTCCTAAGCACCCAGTAGTGTTTTGTGCAAGTAGGGTCTCCATGATACTTATTGATTAATCTGATGGTGCACCTAACTGATGAGTGATCACAAAACACTGGCCAGAGGAGGACAGGCCATTGCCATTTTTACTTACAGAGCCTTCACTGGCTGTAAGAGAGCACTTTGAACACAGAAGACATCCAGTAAAAATCTAAGGCATTGATTTAAATAATCAATTGTATGAAAATTTAAAAATATACTCTATCAATCTTGCTAATATCTGATTATGTAGATGCAGGGAAGTTACTTCCTGTCTGTGAGCCTTGGTTTTTCTCTGCTGTGCATTGAAGGGTCTACCTGGCCGTCTCTCAACTCCACTCTAGCTTTGACACTCGATGCCCTCCCACTAAACACTGTGTTTTTAAAAAATGCAAATGCAGCTCTTCACATGATTTACTCACATGCTGGGAACGTGCTTGGCCCAGCCCACGTTCCTTCCAGTTCTCCACCAGACTCGTCCACACACCAGCAATTCCGAAGGTCAAAGTGCGCCAGGGGGGTGCTGAAGTCTGAGTAGGGACCTGGGTATCGGCTAAGCTGGCCATTTAGGATCTGCCAGAAGACATAGGGCTCCAGGAGGATGTTCTTCTCTGGCTGAGTTATATTCCCTTCCAGTACTGCCAGTGGGACGTCTTGGAAAGAAGGGTACTGTGTCAGCACTGGGAAGATGCCTTGCAGACCAGCCTCATACAGACTTTGAATAAAGAAATGGAAGTTTCCAGAAGCCGCTTCTCTATAGCTCATGATCTTCATTAGCAGCTCAGTGAGGGTCAGCTCCAAGCCCTGGTTCAGATCTTCCAATCTTTGGTGCCACTCGAAGACCTGCTCAGGGGGGCCGTCACATTGCACCCGTCTCCACTGCCCCTCAGCACTGCACTGGGGGACGTAAGGGACAGAGCGGGCAGGTGACGTGCTGGAATTGGACAGCAGGGCTGACGCGGTCCTGAGAAAAGCTTGCTCAGCCTGCAACTGGCAGGGTGTGGGACCTAGAGAGGAACGAAGAACAAGGATTTCAGTTTAAGAAATTAGATAAACTGGACAGACCAAGATAAAACCCCTAACTGTCCAAATTCCATCAAAAACTTTATGTGACCATAGAAATCCCATCAATCTTAAATTTCTAAATACCACCTAGACCTGTGGTTCCCAACTGTTTTAGCACCAGTTTTTTAGAAGACAATTTTTCCATGGACTGAGGATGGGGTAATTAGAGTCTCATGATGAGCACACAACCTAGATCCCCATATGTGCAGTTCACAGTGGAGTTCATGCTCCTGTGAAAATCTAACGTCACCACTGAAGGGCCAGGAGGAGGAGCTCAAGCTGTGATGTAAGCAAGGGGGAGGGGCTGTAAATACTGAAGAAGCTCCACTCACTTGCCGCTCACCTCTTGCCATGTGGCCAGGTTTCTGATAGGCCATGGACCAGTACCAGTCTGTAGCCTGGGGTTGGGGACCAGAGACCCAGACACATGGGATCCCATGACTAAATCATGAGACCACCTGTTGATCAGCACTAGAGAAGTGTATGTGGCAGTTCTTTAAAGCAAAAGAAATTTCCCTGTTCATTCATTAGAATGGTGAGCATTATCCAGATGTTCCTGGATAATTTTTAACATAAGCAGTTAATTTTGCCTTTAACTGAAGTTTGGCTTTGCCATGTATGAATTCTTAGTACTGCATTGGGGCAGGGCTTAAAAAAAACTCTGATGCTATAGACTAAATACCCAAGAAACTTACACTGCTTGGGTTCGCCAGTTATACTTCGAGTTCCAGGAATGGCCTGACCCTCACTGTCAACACAGTAGCACTCAGAGTTGAAGCACTGGACAGGGAGGAAGTGTCCCTCACTGGTACAAGCAGGGAAAAACAAGCTGGACCCAGCAGGCTGACTACCCATGAGGCTTTGCACATCAGCCCTTTGCTTTTCACACTCCGTGGGGCACCTTGGTCGTCCTCCTTGGACTCTCGAGCCAGGAAGTTCTTTGCCCTGGGAATCTACACACCAGCACTCTCCAGTGAAGCACTGGACATCCTCATAGCGTCCTTCTGTTGTGCATGATGGGACAAATAGCCTTCCAGGCCTCTGCTCACAGGTCTGGGAGCTGAGCACCATCTCGACCACATCGCCTAAATCCTTTGCTACATCTTCAGGCACAGAAATAGAACGCTGCAAGAAAAGCAGGAACTCTGGAAGCTCCAGAAGAGACACAAGGAATTTTAGGGCATTTTGGTTCTCTTGTAGGTTAACTTCAAAGCCAAAGCTGCCCACAATTGCCTTATTCATAGCAACACCCTTCTTAGAGGTTTCAGGGGTTTCTGCAGAAGAATTTGGATCCAGTCTCACAGAGAGCAGCTTAGCTGGTTCTTCTAGTCTCTCCCCATTTTGGAAGCCCGAGAGACCAAGTTGTTGGAAAAACTGGCTGAAGTTAAATGTGCCTCTTGTGCCAAGGGCTCCAGACATGTTAAACTGGCCAACATTCTCCAAAAATTTCCCTCCAAAGAGGTTTTGCTGGAGTCTCTTTGGGTTGGTGGTAAACTGAAGGGCAAGCTGAGCTAGCTGTCGGGAGGGGAAAAGCACTTGGACAGCTTCTTTGAGGAGACTTTCTGAGGTGGAAACCTGTGGACCCTGCCCTTCCACCATTGGGTGGAGAAGGCCTGAGTTGACAAAGAGCTCCTTGATTGAAGAGCAGGATGTTGCCAGTCTGGCCACCTGCTGAGAGCCTCGTCCTTCCTCAAGGGAAGAAAACAGGTCATGCTGGCTGAAGTAGCCTGAGGTCCCAAAGTAGAGCCTGGACAAGGCCCGTCGCCGTTCAGAGGCACAAGACTGGTTGTCAGCTGCACAGAACAAAGTGAAACAGGAACAGTGTTATTAACATCATAAGCAATCCTGAGACAACCCTTCAGATCTTTCCAACAGTGAGATGCCAGATTAATTCAATCAAGGACAACCACATTGGGGACCAGTTCCTTCTCTACATACTTTTATTTTTTCCTTTCCCTCTAAGCTGTCTCTGTGGGTGCTATTTTGGAGGGCGTGTCTACTCTGGGTGATATCTTACAGCTTTCCCTAGGGGTTGGTTCCTTCTAAAACAAACCTCGTAGATACAGGCCCACTTTCTAAAAATCTGACCACATTCACCAGTTGTAATGAGTAGAATAGTGTCCCTCCCTTCAAGTTCATGTCTACCTAGAAACTTGAAATGTGACCTATTTAGAAATAGGGTCTTTGGAGATGTCATCAGGTTAAGATGAGGTCATACTGGATTGGAGTGGGCTCTAAATCCAATGACTGGTGTCCTTATAAGATGATCTTCATGTGAAGATACAGTGGGGAAGAAGCCACGTGAGGCAAAGATTGGAGTGATGCAGCTACAAACTCAGGATACCTGAGGTTGCCAGCAACCACAGAAGTTTGGGAAGGGGCCAGGAAGGATTCTTTCCTAAAGCCTTTAGGGAGAGGATGGCCCTGCCAACACCTTGCTTTCAGACTTTCAGCTTCCAGAACTGAGAATAAATTTGTGGTTTTACACAACCTAGTTTGTGGTGATTTGCTATGGCAGCCATAAGGAACTAGAATATCAACAAATTATTATTTGTATTTAACAAAATGTTGTTTTCAAGCATTCTCTTATTGGAGTTTTTAATGGACTGTAATGTTCCACTATATGTGGCTGCCCTATTCCTTCCTATGGTAGTCTTGCTTAGGCTACCTGTGGTTCTCCTTGAGGACAAGAGTCATATGTTCAAGGCTATTGGTGTTCCCTATAATAATAAATGTTTTCCTATGTCATAATATAATATTTTCTATAATACCAGGTGTCCATAAAATTCATGTGCACTTTAAAAATTATGCATGAAATTTATGGACACCCTGTATAATATAATCACACCTAGCTAGCAAACACACTTAGCACATTCTTCTGGTCTTCTTGACCTTTCCTTGAAATTGCTGATTAAATAGTGATGAAGTCATTGAACTAACTCTGTGCATGGTCAGATCATTCTATCTAAACATGCAAGGTTGACTGTGATCACATTAAAGAAAAAAAATTCAAATGCCAAGTTGGGGGCTCAGTCATATAGATAGGAGCACATAAGCTTCATTTTCCCCCCCAAAATCATAAATCTTAGAGGATCTTTTAAACCACTCAACCCATCCCCAAATTTTAAAAGAATTTTTTCCTCTTGATTCACATGGATGCCAAAAAGGAAGTCAGCCAATTTCTTTCCGTAACCAGGCAACAGAGAAAGAACTGGAAAATGTGGTAAGTGGAGGGGGGAGGGAAGGAACGACTGGCAACATTAGAGCATGTAACTCATCCTTCACCCAGGCCATGGCCTCCTCTAATGGGTATTACAGGAAGGCATGGAAGGAATAAAGTTGACTGCTCATTCTCTTTCCAAATTAACAGCTTATCCCTTCCATCCATTTGTTATGTGGTGTTACCAAGGCAGAGAAATTTGGATGTCATTTCCATGTGGCATTTGTTTCCACGGGAAGAGGATGGATAACACTAGAAAGAAGTAAAGATATGCGATCTACTCATGCATTTGACAGGGCTATTCATTGTTCTTCATTGGGGAAGCCATAGTTCTTCATTTCCACTGACATGTGACTGTAAACACCTTCAAGGAAGACCTCCAACTTTTCTTTTCCAACATTCTCATACTGAGCAGGTAGAATACTACCAAACACCACACAGAATACTTTAAAATGTTAGATTAGAGAATGGAGAGATTTAAAAGGAATTATTGAATGAATGTTAACCCATATCTATTTTGAAGCTATAAAAAACCTCAGCCCTCTTTCTTTATCATTTCAGATCTTTCTGAATCTGTGCAGCTTACCCCAGTTGGAAGCCATGAATACTCTTGGATTCTTCTCTCTCTCCCAAATTCCCCCCAGAAGACCCAATGGGGTCTTGCTGGTTCTCACCCTTTCCCACTGTTTCTACTTTAGGATTGTCCACATACTGTGTTGGATACCGCCCCCATCCCCAAATTCACATTCTTCCCAGAACCACAGAATGTAACCTTATTGGCAAAAGAGTCATCGTAGATGAGTTTGGTTAAGATGAGGTTGTCCTGGGTAGGGTGGGCCCTTAATCCAATGTGACAGCTCTTCTTAGAAAAGGAGAGACACAGAAACAGGTGCAAAGGGAAGATAGCCATGCCACAATGGAGCAAAGGCTGGAGTTTACTTCCACAAGCCAAGGGACCTCTGGTTTCTGTACCCATCACAAACTAGAAAGAGGCTCCCCTTGAGCCTTCAGCAGAAGCATCCCTGATAACACCTTGATTTTGGACTTTTCATCTCCAAAACAGTGAGCCAATACATTTCTTTTGTTCTAAGCTACCCTGTTTGTGGTGATTTATTACAACAACCTTAGAAAACTAATGTAGACCCTATCCATCATCTTGGTCCAGAATACTGCAATGGCCTTTTAACTAGTCCCATTGCCTCCAGTCTAATGTTCCTTTCCATCCCTCCTCCAGAATGTCTTTGTCTTACACACAAAAGCTATCACAACACTCAATTAGTCCTATTGCC